TTGTAGTTTTTACTTCTGGCCACTTTGGACCAGGTAAATTATAGATGTTGTCACGATTGGTGAACATGTCATTTTCACATATCCATCTATCATGCTAGCAAATTTTTAGCTCAAATATTAAATGTTTTTTTATTTGTGCTAAGTTGATGCATGTTTAAATGTTTTGTTTAAATTATTATTTATTGTCTAAATGTTAAGATCTGTCAAAGAGACGAACCTTTGAAATTTATAATCTTGTTGCTAAAATGTATGGTAGTTTTAACCAGTGAAATTTGAACTTATCGATAACGTTTAAATATACGGCAGTGATATATGCGGAATATTGGTCTTGGACTGGTACTACTGTGTTTCTGGGTTTTGTTACCCAGGGAAGTACCTTGAGTGTTGGCGAAAAAACTTCTCATCCTGGCCTCCTTTCTCCGCCCAACTTCATGGCCCTTCGTTGTCCTACGCCGTGACGTCTGACTACCTGATTCTATTTACTGTTAAAAGTATGCACAACATTAACTAATTGTTATTGCTTTTTAACATTTTATATCAAACTAGCCTGGATTCCCTGTTATTATTTTCAAATTTTATTTCAAACCCCTCATTAATTATTTAGTTTTTTTATTCATTCCATTTTTGGGGCCCCTAAACAATTAATGGTTACCAAGTTCAATTTGCATTTATTGAAATAAAATATATATTATATTGTTAGAATTTATTCATATGAAAAAAATTAAGGTTAAAGATAGTTAAATTCTTATTTTGAAATTAGCCTATTTGAATGATTGAAGAAATGATTGTAAGTTAGTAGGCTGGGTGGGTAACAAAATCAGTTAAAGTTTTGAGAGTAATTTACATGTATTGTTGTTAGTGTTTGTTGTAGTTTAAATTGGTTTATTACAGCTCGTTTCTCTCAAATAGCGCGTAGTTCTTGAACCTTCATCCACGGCTCTCTTGTTGTTTGGTAGTTATTTGTGAGCCACTCCTCGTCCCTGCACATGGAATCACGCTTCCATGTCGATTGCCTGGGTGCAGGTACGAGGGCCTGGTTCAGATGAAACTGTTCAAAGAACCACAATGCTAGATTCCATATAAAGTTCAAAACAAATACTGCACATCATCTCCTCTTGCAAGCCTTCAATATCTCTGATAAATTTTTTCTCCCGTTTATCTAACTTCTTTTCAAGGTCCTGAATCTGATGTGACTGGGTTTCTTTTTCATTTGTTAATTCTATTAGCTTTGTCTTCAATTTGGTTTCATTTTCAGATTTTTCTGCTACTACTCGCTCCAGCTTCATCTCCCTCAAAAAAAGGAGATTTGTTTTTCAAGAAGCTTGCTTAGCATTTCCTTAGATTGCCGCTGCCGCTCTTGCTCCATTTTATTTAGGTTATAAATCTTTCGAATTTACCCTTAGTCTTTACGTGGAGTAATCATTACTCCGCTCATACAGCTTCTCGCATTTCTTCCAAACTGTTTGTATTTCTGCGTATGGCTAAGCCATAATATTTCTGGATGGCTAATATGGCAGCTCCAGTTAGTCAGTTTCGGCCACCCATCGTTTTTCCGTTGGTTTGTTTATTTTTTCATTCTTTTAGCTTCACAGTCTTTAGACGGGTCCCCATCCGCTTCTGGACATGCCCTATGCATTCCAGTTTTTTGATCTGGCAATCATTGCCATAGGGATTGCTTTCCACAACACTAGCAAACCCTTTTGAATCACCGTCGCCAACATAGCGAACATTGTAGGTGGGTACACACCGACGGAATATCGCTTGTGCTCCATTCGCTTCCATGCCTCCACTTACCCCCTGGTAGTTTACACTGCACTTGTCTGTATGTTGTCCAATAAACTTGTTTTTACAACGGCAATGCTTAGAAAGTAGTTCTGCATCAATAACCTTACAGGTGTCCACTGAAGTAGCAGTAATAACACCATTTTGAGACGTATGACCTCGTTTCTGCCATGTTCCGTCTATGGCAATAGTCAAATCCCTGCCACCTTCATTCAATGCCACAGCTTCCTCTACTGCTTCCTTCATAATTTTGAAACATACAATTTCAGCTGCAGATCCTACAACTTCTGTATAGTTTGAAAATTGTGATGGGGGAGTGGGCAGATTCAGTACGCCACATATGGTAGCGGCAGCCGTCTGGCCTTTGCCTATTGTGCGCATGCCATACACCAATCTTACATTAATATCATATAGGCCTACCTTCTTGTCCTGAGGCTTATTTGGTACAATAGAGGAGTTCTCAAATGAAGCCAGTGTTTTTTCACTACAACCTGCACATGAAAAGTTCCCCGAAAAGAAAAGGCCTATAATCCAGTAACCAAACGCATTTTACCTTGCATGAAATGGGGTAGTAGGTTTCTTTTTTTTAATGTTGTTTGTAATAGTACAGAGTTGCTAAATCCAAATTTTCGACCTCGGTGACCTTCCGGATCACCTCCAAAAAGCTTAAAAATCGGCAGAATTACGCACTATTTTTACGTATGTCCGATTTTGACCCTAAAGCATCACTTTTTCATAAAGAATAACCATAAGTTAACCATTTTTAAAGTACATTAAATTACCTATCATATCTATACAGGGTTAGGCAAAAGTCTGGAACCCCCCAGTTAACTTTTTAATGCGTTGCAGTAGGAAAACCAAACTCGGCACATATTTACAACATAAGAAATTGCACTTTTTAATCAAAGTTACAACTTTGCCCCAGCACCCAAAATGGGGTATTTTGGGGGCAGCCTCAAATTTTCAAATGTAAACACCTATCATGTGACCCCTCATTTTAAAGGGTTTATCAAGAAAAATTGAATGGCGCAAACCAGAGGTCAATATCGCACCCCTAATCAAAATGGCAGCCATTTTAATGATTTGAGATGAGCAAGCAAGATAAAGTCTAAACACCCCCAGTTAACTTTACAAATTTTATATTTTAATACTGACCATAAGGTGAATTCACTATTTTTATAAAGGTATGCTGAGTTTAGTTTTCCTGCTGTAACCTGTTAAAAAGTTAATAGGGAATATTTAAAAATGACTGCCAGTTTGATTAGGGGTGTGATATTGACCTCTAGTTTGCGCCATTTAATTTGTCTTGAAAACCCCTTTAAAATGAGGGGTCACATGATAGGTGTTTACATTTGAAAATTTGGGGCTGCCCGCAAAATACCCCATTTTGGGGGCTGGGGCAAAGTTATAACTTTGATGAAAAAGTGCAACTTCTTATGTTGTAAATATGTGCCGAGTTTGGATTTCATACTGCAACGCGTTAAAAAGTTAACTGGGGGGTTCCAGACTTTTGCCTAACCCTGTATAAATAAAATTAGAGTTTTGTCTGTACATTGCTTAGAATAATGAACTTTTTGGTTATTTTTACATTTCATAGGTCAGAGAAACCGAATCAAACCTTATCTCAATTTCTGTCTGTCTGTCTGTCTGTCTGTCTGTCTGTCTATCTGTCATTCTCTTGGTAACGCTAAAATACGCACTTTATTACAACTACTCCTCAATAACTATAGCACTGTCCCGCCTGAAACTTATTTTCCAAATACTATACATATATGAGATGGTTTTAGACGTATTTCATCGAATATGAGACAGTTAGATATTTAACAGTAAACCCTTGAAAATCAAGTTTTTGTCGATTTTTGACGTGGAATTTCTGGAAGAATGTTGCTTTGTTTACAACTAATCATATGCACATGGTTTTAATTGAAATACAATCTTAATTTTGACATTGGCATACAGCTGTGATTAGAAAACGTTAGCCTATTTGAACTCAAGGTTAACCATAGCCTTATCGATTCACACAACTTAAAAACCATACGAAATGTATACTATATTATATAACTGAACACCAGTTCTGCTAATTATAACAATGGGTTTTGTACATTTCATCCATTACCGTACAAATAATTAAAATAATAATACATTAATTGGTTAGAAGTAAAGATAAATAAAATTAGAGTTTTGTCTGTACATTGCTTAGAATAATGAACTTTTTGGTTATTTTTACATTTCATAGGTCAGAGAAACCGAATCAAACCTTATCTCAATTTCTGTCTGTCTGTCTGTCTGTCTGTCTGTCTGTCTATCTGTCATTCTCTTGGTAACGCTAAAATACGCACTTTATTACAACTACTCCTCAATAACTATAGCACTGTCCCGCCTGAAACTTATTTTCCAAATACTATACATATATGAGATGGTTTTAGACGTATTTCATCGAATATGAGACAGTTAGATATTTAACAGTAAACCCTTGAAAATCAAGTTTTTGTCGATTTTTGACGTGGAATTTCTGGAAGAATGTTGCTTTGTTTACAACTAATCATATGCACATGGTTTTAATTGAAATACAATCTTAATTTTGACATTGGCATACAGCTGTGATTAGAAAACGTTAGCCTATTTGAACTCAAGGTTAACCATAGCCTTATCGATTCACACAACTTAAAAACCATACGAAATGTATACTATATTATATAACTGAACACCAGTTCTGCTAATTATAACAATGGGTTTTGTACATTTCATCCATTACCGTACAAATAATTAAAATAATAATACATTAATTGGTTAGAAGTAAATTTAATTCAAATTACAGATTCAATACAAAGTATTCAATATAAAAGTTAAACATTTTAGATAACAAAATTACGATCAGCTGATTGTTATTCTTTAATATCTGTGCGCTACTAACCAGCAAACAAACTTGACCAGTTTATTATTGTTCATTACTCTTTACACCAAAATAAAAGTTATAATAGTTAATAATGTCCTAAATTATTTCACGTTTATAAATAAAAGAAAATCTACTCTTCTTTTAATTTATTTTTTTTTGAGGTAATGTTTTTAAAAAAGTTCATATTCCCATATGAATTTGCATCAATCAGATGTTTCATACTGTACAGTAGAGATATTCGTTGACATAGTGTCAAACACAAATTAAATTTGTTTACAACTAAACATATGGACAATATTTTTGTTGCTTTAGTTGAGAGGTTACAAGTTAATCTTTAATACATTATTTGTTGAAATATTTTCTATTGTTTCTAAATAAATATGTCCTGAAGAGTATGCCTCGCAAGAGAAAAAGCAATTTGGGTAGAAAAACAAATAATGCCAAGAGACAAAAATTGTGTGTATCCACGGAATCAGTTGATTATGATGATTCGGACTCTGATGATGGTGTACATAGCAATAATGAGTCGACAATTTTAAGTTCCGTTGTGGTTGAAGATTATGCACGACCTTCAACCAGTCGAGAGCGTGTCGCCCTATTTAGGTCTCAGCAGAATGAAAAAGAACGTGAAAGCAGGCGAGACACTGAACGTTTAAGATTTAGCCAAAGAATACAAAATGAGACGGAAGAGGAGCGAGAAGCTCGACGGAACAGGGACCGAATACGGCACGTCCAGAGAAAAGAAAATGAGACAGAAGAGGAGCGAGATGCACGTCGGTGCAGCAACCGAATACAGCAAGTTCAGAAGAGGGGAAACGAGACAGAGGTTGAGCGAGAAGCACGTCGGAACAGTGACCGAATACTACACGTTCGGGGGAGGGAAAACGAAACAGAGGAGGAGCAAGAAGCACGTCGGGAGAGTGACCGAATACTACATGTTCAGAGGAGGGAAAACGAGACAGATGAGAAGCGAGAAGCACGTCGGAACAGTGACCGAATAATACACGTAAGGAAGAGGGAAAATGAAACAGAGGAGGAGCAAGAAGCACGTCGGGAGAGTGACCGAAAACTACATGTTCAGAGGAGGGAAAACGAGACAGATGAGGAGCGAGAAGCACGTCGGAACAGTGACCGAATACGACACGTACGGAAGAGGGAAAACGAAACAGAGGAGGAGCAAGAAGCACGTCGGAACAATGACCGAATATTACACGTCCAGAGAAGGGAAAACGAAACAGAGGAGGAGCAAGAAGCACGTCGGGAGAGTGACCGAATACTACATGTTCAAAGGAGGGAAAACGAGACAGTGGAGGAGGGAGGAGCACGTCGAAACAGTGACCGAATCCTACACGTTCGCAGGAGGGAAAATGAAACAAGAGAAGAGAGAGAAAGTAGGCAAGAACGAGATAGAGTTCGGCAAAACCAACGTAGGAATAATGAAACTCCTGAAGAGCGGGAAGCTAGACATATAATCGACAATGATAGGTACCGTCGCACTGTTGAAGAGCAAACTCTACTTTTGCATGACGAGGCGACCCGAGTGGAGGAACTTCGAGCAAGCCAGGACATTGCTGACAGAAATGCCCGTGTTGCCGCTGATTCTGAAAG